GAACTGCCCCTCATTAGCTCATATATGCAAACACTTTGGTCTCTAGTTAGTGGTGCTGTTCAAGAATGTAATGAAAGGATTACATAGGAAGTGGAACCTTTTTGGAGGAAGTAAGTCACTGAGGGTAGGCCTTGGGATTTCATATCCTGGCCCCACTTCCTGTTCATTCAGTCTCTGCTTCTGGGCTTCTGGTAGAAAGTGACTAACCACCTATGCTCCTACTACTATTCTTTCTACACCATAATGGACGGTATTTCCTCTGGAAGTGTAAGCCAAAAATAAAACCTTCCTCTCTTAAGTTGCTTTTGTTGGGGTATTTTATCACAGTAATAGAAACAAGTCCCTTAATCAAGAAAACACAACTGAAACAAAGAAAATAAATGCTTTTCCATCAACTTAGTAGATCAGGGGAGTAAATGCAGACTGCCAAGAGATAGCTGAGCACTACAGTGAGAAGCAGGTTCTTGAGGCTGCTTGAGTTTGGCACCTGTTTCTGCCCCTGACCTGTCATCATTGTTTAGAAACAATCTCTCCTCATGTCTGCGCAGTGTTACTGTAAAGAACGTATGAATACATGTTAGTATAACTGCATGCAGCCTGTGCTGCACACTGATCTACTCAATTAGAAAATGCTAGTGTATTCCCTTTTGGCTAGATAGAAAGCAAAAGCACCTTATTCTCAAAAGGATTTTAGGATTTCTTAAACTTTTAAATGTAGATGCTTTCTTATTTTGTTTCTATTTACAAATGTATTTTATAAATATATTCCCTGCTATATAAAAATTGAGCTAAAATAAGTGAACCTGTGTTCCTGTTATTGAATACTACATATCAATTAAGAGAGCTAGATTCGTTGATTGGTCTCTGCATGTACATACTCTGTAAAGGTGTACAGGTAGAAAGATCTAGAAATGTATTTGTGTGAAACCATGTTGCAGAATAAGCATATTATGATTTTGCTTCTCATTGAAAATATGTTTATGTATGCACTTAATTTATATTTACTTTCATATAAGAGAGTCCAGAACTTCACATAGGTAAATGTAAATAGGTTACTGGTGGGGCAGGGTAGAATGAGAGAGCAGATAAAACATTATGAATTTTTTCAGTTGTGCTGTCTGATTTGACTAGTTTTTGCTGAGAATGTGCTTGTGTGTGACTCATACATTTGCATTTAAATATTCATCTAAAGTGGCAGTCAGCTAAGATGTGCCTTGTCTCCTAAAGATGCGGACAGAGAATCCATCCAGATGAGAAACGATTAGTGTTCAAATTTGGGCATGAGGTTTACTCTGAAGCCAATCAAGCTTCTCCAGTTACTTGAACAATTAACATATGTCATGGTTACTAATGATTATCAGCTTGACAGAATCTAAAACCATGTAGAACAGAAACCTCTGGGCATGTCTGTAAGGGAGTTTCTAAATTGGGTTAATTGCATATCTGCTGTGGCTAGCACCATCTAAAGGGCTAGAGTCTTAGACTGAATAAAAGGAGAAAGCAAGCTGATTACCAGTGTTCATCTCATCTGGCTTCCAGATGCAGTGTGACCAGCTGCCTCACATGTATTCCCATGTCTTCCCCCAGTATGGTAGACTATACCCTGAAACCATAAACCAGGACAAACTATTTCTGGTGTTGATTTTGTAAGGTACTCTGTCACAGCAATAAGAAACGTGTTTATCCCTTAAGTTTCTAATCTGAAAGTGGAGCTTATGAGATTTGCTTATGAAATTTGAGTGAGTACACCTATGTAAAAGGCTCTGAGCAGTTCTGTCAATGAAACACATTGGAGGTTAGCTTTGCAATCAATAAAAAGCAATTAGATACAACAGGTATTATAGATAAGTTTGAAAGGCGGGTGGAGTGATAAGCCTATAGGAGGTAGCTAGGAATTCATATGCCTTTTCTCCTGCCTTTTGATATGCGTTGTGTAAGTCTGTAAGGAAGAAAACCCTTGGGCCTTTTTCTCTCACCAGCAAGGGAACCTAGTAGATATAATAGGTGTTAGTAGACTATGCAAGGTTAGTATTAATTAATCACTTCTGAAATAGTTTATGAACTCAGGTACTTAATACATTTATGAATCTTTTCAACTATTAAGTGTAGAAACAGATGTTGCAACTAAGAAGACAAACCTCACTTTTCTGGACCTTAAAAATATTAAAATGACACCCTCTTGGCTTTAGGTTTGCAGAACACATTGTCATCAAGTGTACTTGTGGCTAATCTAAAAATGTTGGTTCTATATAACTCTTTGCCTTTTATTGCTAAGATAGTATATGAGTATCTTAAGATATCCTAACAAAGAAGTGTAGCTGGCTCCTAGTTAGGGGTACAGGGACTGTCTCAGACATGAACTCAATGGCTGCTCCCCCACCCCCCAGGGAGGAGCAGCCTTGCTAGGCCACAGAAAAGGACATTGTAGCCAGTCCTGAAGAGACCTGATAAGCTAGGATCAGATGGAAGGGGAGGAGGACCTCCCCCATCAGTGGATTTAGAGAGGGGCAGGAAGGAGATGAGGAAGGGAGGGTAGGATTGGGAGGGAATGAGGAAGGGGGATACAGCTGGGATACAAAGTAAATAAACGTAAGTAATATTAAAAAATAATAAAGAAAAAATAAATAAAAAGTTGATTCTTTCCTTCTGTAGTCTGAGGCCCAAAGTCAAGGTGTGGGTAGAATTGTTTTCTGAAGGCCCTGGAAGAGCATCTGGCCTTCTTCCAGTTGCTGGAAGTAGCTAGCAGCCCTGTCATCCTTTGACTTCTGTGTGAGCCTAGTCTGCTTCTGTCTTCATGAGGCATTCTCCCTACACCTGTGTTTTTTTGCATCTCCTGAAGACATCTGTAATTAGATTTAAGGTCTGCACTTAGCTGCAATCAATCTCGGTTTGCTGTGTATGTGAAGGTTCTGTTTCCAAATAAGGTTAACATAGGTACCAAGAGGTTTGTCCTTTAGCTCACCACCACCTCTAAGGAATTTTGGGTTTTTGGTTTTTTGTTTGTTTGTGGAGAAAGGATCTCATATATTTTAGGTTGGCCTTCAACTTCTGTATGTAGCCAGGGATGACTTTGAACTTCTTAATGGTTTTGTCTCCACCTCCAAAGTGCTGAGATGCCACCACACCCAGTTTATGCAAAGCTAGAGATTATATGATCTAGGCAAATACTGATCCAACTGAGCTATTTCTCTAGCTTCAATCCTATTGCTTTTAATTTCCGGCTTATACATCAGGTCTTTGGAGAGAATTGTCATAGAGGAGGAAAAGGCTGGTGGGTCTCCTGAGGTCTGTGTTTTTTCATTTTAGAGTTAGTTTGTTGAGGTCTTCAGAAAAGAGAAAAGAGCAGGAGAGTAACCGCTATGCAGGTTTTTTTGAGCCTACTGAATCCAGACAGTTTTGTATAGACTTTATTAGGCAAACATTCATAGTCGGTTAGCCTTACCCTTATTAGTCCTTATAAGTTGAATAATTGTATTTCCTGGCACTTTTATATTTTTTAATAGCCCTAGTATGTAATATAAGTAAGAGCTCCTTTTGCAAATTTTAACTGTTACAACTATTCCATATTTTAACTTCTACTTCTTTAGCTTTTCTATAAACCTTCATTGTATTCTAATATAAAACCACAAATTCATGTTTATAGACCAGTGTAGAGATATTAAAATCCTATTAAAGATTTTCACATGGAAAATTACAGAAACAGAGCCAATGAGATTGCCCAGTGGATAAAGTTACTTGCTATCAAGCCTAACAACCGAAGTTTAATCTCTGGGATTAACAGTAGAAGAAGACCTCTACATGCAGACCATAGTATGTGCAGGCTCCTACACATACACATAATCAATAAAATACAATAGAAATAAAGAAAATTATAGGAATAAATGTGATGATTGCCAAAATTGTGATCTTTCAGTTAGAAAGCAAAGACTTCTTTAATTGTTGAAGTCCATAATATTGGACATTTACTCATTCCATAGGTTTTTATTGCTAGGTGCTGTTCAAGGGTAGAATGCAGAAATGAATAACCTACCTGCTTGTTCTCAGGAATGTTAGCGTTTGATGGGGGAGGACTTGCACATAGTCACATGTTCAAATCTCTGGAAATGAGAGTGGTAGGCAGATGTCTTTTTATTAGGCTGGATAATTTTAATCTCATAATTGAGCAAATCTCTGAAGAAAGAGTGTGTTTGTATGTGTGTCTATTGAAGAAATGTTCCAAGTGGAAGAAGGAAGAGAGCAATGAGAATCCTCACAGTAGGTATGAGCTGGGGCTTTGGAGAGAGATTTGAGGACCAAAGGATTACAGAGGTTCTAACTCTGGGACCCTACTGGCTGTAGGGGAGATAAAGACATGGTCATCATTTCAAAACTGTGCCTTATCTAAAATTGATACCTCCTGACTCATAACGTATTTTTACAGCATGCATATCATCCCAGTAATTGTCCTACCCATTGTGCCATAGTATAGAGCTTTAGATTCTTACATATGAAATTGAGCTTAAGCCTAGACAGCATTAATCTGAAGTGAGGCTGACCAGCCAAGGATGCCCACCTTTTCTGTTCCCTGAGCTTATGTTTATTTAGGACTATTACTCTCCCTTTCACCAAAAGGGCATTATGAATTAGTGGATCTAGGTATTGTGACCAGTGTCCTGAGTGTCAGTACTCTCTAGTACTGCTTTCATATTCTAAGACATGTTTAGTTAGCCTGAGAACCCTGAGGTCAACTCCTGAGTCGTACTATCACCGCACAAATATCAGACAAGTGTTTCTCAGTGCTGGCACAGAAGGCAGCCAGCTTCCTTTTCAGAAGATCCCTAACCCTGCCTGTGTGTGTGTGTGTGTGTGTGTGTGTGTGTGTGTGTGTGTGTGTGT